TGGTTAGTAGTATATTATTAGTTATAGTAAAGATTTTGACAGGTTATATGGCTTTATAATTATAAACAGTTGTTTGTACATGTATATAGATTCTATATTCCAAGGTCATATAACCTGTCAACAATCTTTATAATGAATTTATAATACTGCAAACTTTCTTTATCAGAGGAAAATATGACACCTTTCACACCATAAGATAAAATTAATCCCGGCGTATTTATAGAAAAAAAATTATATTTTCTTTTTATCATACATCTTTTCTTTTTTTACCTGACGATTCGAAAAACTTTCCCATTGGCTGGATTTAGAGACACGTAGTTCGGCAAGATACTAATGAAAATAAGGAATATATTTTTCACTGCAGTGAAAACTAAATTTTTTACTGTGAAAATACGGAAAATATCTTTACCATTTTAATTTATATTATGTCCAAGATAATGTATCAAATCTATGATTTTCATTGGCTGGATTTAGAGACACGTAGTTCGGCAGGATACTAGTGAAAATACGGAATATATTTTTCACTGCAGTGAAAACTAAATTTTTACAGTGAAAATACGGAAAATATCTTTACCATTTTAATTTATATTATGTCCAAGATAATGTTGATCTATCAAATCTATGATTTTCATGAAACTAAGTTAAATATTTTTATTATTGTAAACTTCAGACCTAACTATTCTTTGAATTCTTCGCAACCTCTTGCAAAATGCGTTATATAGATCTACCCCTACTATGGAATTAGCTAAAATTGCGCATCTGTAGATATAATATAAAAGTAGGTGCTGTAGATCTATTATTCTTTGTGTGTGTGAATATCATGTAAGACATGCACTCATAAAAAAAATCACTCATGACTCCTTCTTGTAAAACTCCTGGATCCATTTTTTCTCACAGACACATTATGTATTTGTGTAAATTTCTCCTCTGCTGCCATGTGTTATGCGAAACAGGTCCGATAAAAAAAACTCGGATAGTCAGTAAGTAATCTAGTCAAGTTATTTCCCTTTTATCTGGATGTGATCCAAAACATTTCAGGTATCTGTCTTTTACTTGTAAAATTAAGATTTTCAAGCCACTGTTTGTCTTGAATTATTTTCTTTAAAACTTTTTTTTTCGGTAAACAGATATATATATATATAATTTAATACCAATGTCATATTGCAGCAGATACTATCAAAAAGTCAACATCACATATTAAATCACGCCCATACTACTTCACCGTAGGGAACGTGTTACAGTATCGCGTTTTCCGGTTACAGTATAGAATTTTAAAGATGGAGGGTTATTTGTGGGGAGGACAGGTCCGGTCCATACAGTGCAAATCACCTCGCTCTACAGTATACTGTAACATTGTTTATTTTTTCAAACGCATTTAACGAACAGGAAAATAGGTTCAACTGTTCATTTACCTTTATAAACGTTTCCTAACATAAAGGACTAACTTTTTGCAGATTTACTTTTTCTAGGCATGCATAAATAATGTCGGAATGGGAGAACAATGCGTTGGTCTCTCGATTCAAATTTTCAAACTGTCAGATCTGCATATTTATTAGACAATATAGAGATAAATCTGCGGTGCAAGGGCTGAATAAATAAATGACTAGATTAATAATATAGACCCTTCTTAATATTACCTCATACATATTCATAGATTTCTCAAAACGAGGTTAACAGGGCAAGCTCCAGTATCTGCTCTATGTAAACATATCACGATTATATGGCCGAAAGATATAGAGATCTTGATATAGTACTGATAGTACTACATACTTGTTGAGAGTTATATTTAACATTACAAAAATCTCTTCTGGAGATAAATGGTTTATTTTACGCTATATACAGTGAAGGATATACATGTATTAAAGACCTGAAAAGTGAATTAATGTTTATGATAATTCCAATTGATTCCTAATAATCCGTGACAAGTATTATATCAGGTTAACCCTTTGCAACTTATACAGACATTATCTATGTTATCAGTATTTTATTGCTTACCTAAACACATGTTGGTCAAGAATGTATAAGGCACTTAACTAATAATAGATGTAAACAGTTGGTACCATACTTCCCCTAAAATTAGCCATTGAAATAAAAAAAAAATAAATAAACAATAAGTTTTATTCATTTTGTATTTGAAAATCAAAAATTCTGGATGACTGTCTAGTAACTGGTTAACTTTACAGACAGCCTTACCAAATCAAAATAACAATTTTGTTTAGACATGACACCACACCCCCGTCTTATACATTTCAATGGATTTTCAGTATCTCAACACATGATGTTGTTTCAGTATCTCAACACATGATGTTGTTAAAAGCATTGGAAACATACATTTCATGCTAAGTAACGGATGAGAAACTTATATATTATCAATTGTTTTAACTAATTACAGTATTAAATACTTAGTATTTAACAAATTTAAATTACAATCATTTAATTGCAAATATCAGTCAAATCTGAGGTATCATTAGCTTATTGCACTTGTCCAGTTGGTCCGACTTGATAATGTGGTCATATTGTTGAACCCTGTACTAGCTGATATATAACAAATCATTTGGGTACACAGCACTTCCAGAAGATGTTGCCTGGACTTAACAACCCCAGACATTCCATTTACTTAGGGGACTAAACATTTGCAGAATACATGTGCAGGACCTTGCAGTCGGAGGGTATTAGGAAAGACAGCATCTAGCTTCAGCACTTCTTTTAGCATTCCAAGAAATATTCACTCAACAGTATATAATGCAATAAGAGGACAAAATATTAAATGTTATTACCGTGTTGACATATTCCCTGCAGCTGTACCATATATGTAACAAAGCACAATGTTAAAAACAAAGTAATGTTAAAAACAAAGTAATGCGATGATTTCTTTTTAATTATTTTATTTGAATTAAGACACAAAAGAATAAACAAATGGTCCTTTAAAATATACTAAAATACATTTTGTCAGCTTGCAACATCTATATCTTTCTATCAGTGAAGCTGTTTGTTTTGCTTGCTTCATAATAATACCTCTTAATGTTTTTGCTGATGTTTTAAACATTGAAAACTGTAATGAATATACATATGTTGAAAATCCAAAGTAAACAAGATATGCAACTGTTATCATTTAAAAATTTGTTTGTATCAAAAGTTCAATATCACATTTTATTTTCTTCCTCAGTTTTCTGTAATTCTTCTTTGAACTGTTTGATAGTTTCTTTTTCATCTGTTCTGCAACTGCCATGAAGAGATATTACAACTTAAGGCGATTCAAATACCAGTTGTCAATTTGTGTTCATTACTGTTACCAATGGAATTCCTGAAAAATATATATACATTTTACTATGAAGTGGTAACAAGAATTATGACATTTCTAGAATATATTCATTTATATTGTTATTGCATTTATAGTATTTTTTACTGTAGCTGAACTTTATTTATGTGTAAAAATGAAAATTAAGTCTTGTGATATACCTTTCATCTGGCAAAATCTTCTTTAATGTCCATCTTACTGGTCTGTTCATTACTTCTCCATTTGAACCAAGTAGGTACATCTATTCTCTTCAGACATATATGAATTTGTGTCCATGATCGTTAATCTTATTTTGTGAAATGCTTCAAAACAAGCAATATTGTCTTGTCATATATTGATCTGAAATGGTAAACAAAATAACTGTTATTGTTTTTTAGTATAAAAACGGTTTTGGTTTAGATTAATCATTAGTGTGATATTTAAATGAAATTAATGAACAAAACATTTTATTATGTTAATAATTAAATGAAACATTTAAAACAATGAGAAATCAGATTAATTAATGTAAGTAGTAATACATATAAAGTAGCTTAGTTTAAAAAAGAAAAGAACAATGAAATTTTACCTCGAAATGTTCTCGTTCATCCCATCTTATTTCCACAATCCCTTCCTTTATTTAACTCACATCCTTACGTATTTTATGAAAATTAACCGTATAATCATATTTAGAATTGGAATAACAGAGTGAAACACAACAATAAAAAGTATATTTTCCCCGGTAAGTTTAACACACTTGGGCTTATCAGGTCAGATATTACTTGTTTACATTCATGCCCTGTTAGCCTCTCTCTGGTGATGGAATGTAAAGTATGCATATAATTTGAGAAAGGCCTATTATTTCATATTTAAAATGGTTTACCTCAATATGATATATGCTCATGGAAATTAAAGTCATTTCATTCATTACTATTTTCTTACAATATTTATTTTAGCGTATGAACTTACAACTTTAATAACAACGGCGAAATGACGTCATCCTAAATACATATTTCTCTTCTAAAATGACGCAATTTTAACGCGGTTCATTCATAAAATGCGCTAAAATGACATTGATGTATGGCACGCGACTCATCTGGCACCCCCCCCCCCCATTCCAGATGAAATTTCCGGCATGTGTAAAACTCACGGAAACGCCAGTCTGTTATGCAAGAAACCGGATTCTGGTTCTTACAAGCAAAACACAAAAACATCCTACTTGTAGTATGGACCGGAATAAAAATCACCTACCTGTCCTCCCCACAAATAATCCTCCATCTTTAAAATTCTATTCTGTAACCGAAAAACGCGATACTGTAACACGTTCCCTACGGTGAATCCACTAGGGCCCAAAAGTTTAAAAATTGAAATCGAAAGTGAAAGTAAAGCTGGAAACCACATCAACTAAAAATAGATTTTTGAATTTTTGAAGAACTTTGAACAGGGTGGAAAAGGTATTCTTTTAACTATTTATTTTGCAGTCACTGCGAATTTAATCTTATGATTATAGTGGTATTTTATGTAAATGTTTACTGAAATGGAATACATATATAAATGTATTCACATTGTAAAATTGCTCTGTCATAGAAACGACTTTTCGTTAGACAAACAAGTATTACGTTGCTTTACATTGTAAAATGGTAGATCAGTACCTTCCTACAGTTATGTTTAATATTCTGCACTTCAGTATTCTTTAAAGTTTAAGTCAATTTCCATTCATATTTAATTGATTATATACAGGTATGCATAATTGATACTTAACGAGGGAAATTCGAAACCGAAAGTACACCTTTTAATGGACACTCAAAGAAATACAAATGTACATATATTGAGAAAAGTCTGCAACGCGTTTGGAACCTTGCACTGGTGTTTAACAAAGACCTTATCAGTTAATATGTAAAACTTGTAAGTCTGAAAACTTTAGATTTGAATACATGTAACGTTTACATACCATAAAATAGGTTGGTTTTTTTTATTAATCTGACTAAAGTTCAGATTTAAATGCGTACTCAGTAGCGTTATTTAAACAGATTAGGTTTTTATGAACTATTTTTCAAACCACTAATTCAAAGCACTGGTCTGAATAAAAATAATTATGGAAATGAAGAAAGGAATCTGATTCAAATTGCGATTTGAATTTTATTTTGTATTTTTCTTGGTTTGTAGGCTTGTTTTACTTTCATGAACGGTACTTTTGTTTTTAGTGAAGATCTTAATTGTTACGCTGTAAGAAAATAAAGAATGACTTGCAGAAAATTTCCGCTACATAAATATTGAATAACATAGACCTATTAAAGTTTGAAAATAGCCCTGCTTATCACACACCCGTGCCGATTTTGCGACTCCGTAAATATGGTATTGCACGGCCGTGCATATATTTTGACGTGACGTCATTAGCGTTATACAAACATAGTGTAAAAACGTGCTAAATGTTAGCGTTATACTATAGGCGCGTCAATGAAAAATGACGCTTATTTCACTTTAAACGGTCTTTATTTTTGGTATGTGATAAATAGAATATTAAATTCGTGTAAGTTCATTACTGAATTTATTGCACTCGTTGAATAAAATAATATTATGCTCGCCAGAGGCTCGCATAATATAATTCTATTCAACTCGTGCAATAAATTTAGTATTGAACTTACACTCATTCAATATCCTCTATTTATGGCGGCCCAAAAGAGACGATGATTATTGTAATCAAATTAAAATAGTAATTGAGTTTTATGTTTTGACTGCTTAATGTAAAAACAAATGTTTATTTATAATGTATAAGTTCCATCATTCAGATTACGAACTTCATAAGAATTTCCGCATGAAATCACTATTTTTCAACAGAAAACTGATTTACTGTGAAAAATAGTTCTAAATCTCTCATGCTCATTGAAATACTATTCGCTTTTGTTTTCAACAGAATTAATCCATATAGAGTGATATTTTATTATAACTTGTTACGATAATCATGTCAACCTGCATACAGTGGTCACCCTTCTATAGCGGCCATTTAAGCTTTTTTAAAGTCCCCTTACTGACCACTGTAAGCAGGTTAGACTGTATTTATACATAAGAATATTCATGTCTGTATGTCAGAATTATTACTCCCATAGCTATTTCTTTTACGAACAATTATGAATGTTTGTTTTGTTGTTTTTAGGTTATTTATTTGATCGGACGTGTCATTCAAGATGGGCTTGTATTGGAAGCTAATTCTACTTGTTATTTGCATACACAAGCAGTCAGTTCTTTCCACAAGTAAGTATAAAATGTACAATACAACAATTTAATTAAGAAATAGTGTACAGCCCCTGTATGAACACAGAAATTGTAAAAAATGTTGCTCCTTCAACTCTATATATCAATATATATCGTTCCGAAATGAACAAACCTTTGGTGTAAGTTTGAGAAACAATTTGTTCTAATAAATGTTTGACGAAATAATGCCGTTTTATAGCAATCATTTTCATCATTTATAATTTCTTCCTGGTAAAACGAATCTTCCTTGTTTCAACAATACAAAATAATATATTGATAAATACTGAATAAGAACTATACAAACATTTCAGTCCGGAAACGTTTAGTGCCGCCCAAAAGCATTTTTCCATAAGTAGCAATTTTTATGTAGTTACGCACGCAAAAAAAACACACTGGCGCGCACGCAAAACAAATGCGAATTTGATGTGCTTTTGATCTTTATTTTTCTTTATTTTTCTTCAAGGGCCGAATAATAATGAAGGTTTCTTTAAACAAGTTGCTGACATTTTTGAGGATGGTGGATCGACTGCAGTTAAATTGTTTTTAGACAGAGAACTGAACGATTGGAAAAATGTGAAAATAAATTTGGCTGTGTTTGGAACGTCTGGCACGGGTAAATCTAGTTTCATTAATACGGTACTGGGATTAACGGCTGATGATGAAGGTTCTGCTCCAGTTGGTGTCAAAGAAACTACTGAAGAGGTCAAAGATTATCCACATCCTCAATATCCTAATTTAGTTTTGTGGGACCTTCCAGGCGTTGGGACACCAAATTTCAATCGTGAAAATTACTTTCGAAAAATCAACATTAATCTGTTTGATTATTTCATTTTTATGACTTCCGATCGTTTTCGTGATGATGATTTTTGGTTTGCTCAGGAGTTGAATGCTAAAGATAAATTATTTTATTTTGTTCGCAACAAAGTGGGACAAGATATAGATAATAATAAACATGACCATCCGAAATCACATACGGAATCGAAGGTGCTGGATGATATAAGACAGAACTGCGAATATAACTTAAATAAACTTAATTTGGAAAAAAAAATCGATGTATACCTTATAGATTTACACGAACCAGAAAAATATGACTTCGAACATTTAATGGATCAATTGGTAAATGATACTTCCGAGAAGAAAAAAGAGGCACTAACATTATCAATGACTCGTTTAACAAAAGATATGATTTTAAGAAAAAAAGAAATCTTATCCGAGAGGATCCATACTTTATCGTTGATGTCAGGTGTAACCGGGGCAATACCTGTGCTTTTAATGGATAGTTTCGTTGATATTGGAATTCTGATTGAAGAAACCAAATTCTACAAAACCCAGTTTGGTCTCAGTGAGGAAATGCTAGAAGCATATGCGCAGAGATCCGAAATAACCGTTGACCAGTTAACGAAAAATCTGAATCTTCAAAGTCGTTTAATAGGTTTAACCGCGAAAGGAATTCTATCTTATTTGTCCAAAAAAGGATTTAAAAAGGCAGGGACGCTAACAACAGCGAAATATGTCAAGTACGTTCTGCCTCTGTTTGGACATGCTTTGAGTGGAGCTGCTTCGTATGCGATGACGACATGGTGTCTTCACGACTTACTGAACTTAATGGTAGAGGATGCATTGAAAATAAATGATCATAAATTCAATTGAATAAAATGTGCCTGCAGCATTGCACAAAACATTAATAATGTAATCACTTTATTCTTTATTTAAAGTTCGCATTTTCGGAGAATTAAAAGAGGTACTGTATTGATCCTGTTGGCTGTGTTTGGGGTCGCCGTGGCCGTCACACTTTGGTAAAGTTTTTGTGCGCAAGTTGGTATTTCCAAACTTACTGGAAAACATTCAACAACAAATTATGACGTAGTCTTATATAATTATTTCAAAGATTTTGATAGAGAGTAATCATTTATAGTCATCCCTAAAGGCATCACCTATGATCAGCATTAATAGCAATCATATGTAGTCATTACTTATTGTCATTTACAGTCTTCATTTATAGCCATTATTTATAGTTATGATTTATAGTCGATATTTATAGTTATCATTTATTGTCATTATTTATAGTAATCATTTATAGTCATTATTTATAGTTATCATTCATAGTCATTATTTATAGCTACCATTTATAGGCATTATATATAGTTATGATTAATTGTCATTATTTATAGTTATAAATTATTGTCATTATTTATAGTTATCATTTATAGTCATTATTTAAAGTTACCATTTATAGTCATTATTTATAGTTACAATTTATAGTCATCATTTATAGTGATTATTTATAGTGATTATTTATAGTTATCATTTATAGTCATTTCTTATAGTTACCATTTATAGTCAACATTAAGTGTCATCATTTATAGTTATCATTTATAGTCATCATTTATTTCATCATTCATATTCATTATTTATAGTTACCATTTATTGTCATTATTTATAGTTATCATTTATAGTCATTATTTATAGTTATCATTTATAGTCATTATTTATTGTTATCATTTATAGTAATCATTTATATTCATTATTTATAGTCAACATTTATAGTCATCATTTATAGTCATTATTTATAGTTATTATTTATAGCCATAATTTATAGTTACCATTTATAGTCATGATTTATAGTTATCATTTATAGTTATCATTTATAGTCATCATTTAGTGTTATCATTTATAGGCAACATTTAAAGTCATGATTTAAAGTCAACATTTATAGTCATCATTTATTTCATCATTTATAGTCATTATTTATAGTTATTATTTATAGTCATCATTTAGTGCCATCATTTATAGTCAACATTTATAGTCAGCGTTTATAGTCATTATTTATTTCATCATTTATAGTCAATATTTATAGTTTCCATTTATAGTCATTTTTATAGTTACTATTAATTTATGGTTATCATTTATAGTCATTATTAATAGTTATTATTCATAGTCATTATTTATAGTTACCATTTTTAGTAATCATTTATTTCATCATTTAAAGTCATCATTTATAGTCATTATTAATAGTCATCATTTATAGTAATCATTTATAGACATCATTTGTAGTCATCATTATAGTCATAATTTATAGTCATCATTTATAGTGATTATTTATAGTGATTATTTATAGTTATCATTTATAGTCATTTCTTATAGTTACCATTTATAGTCAACATTAAGTGTCATCATTTATAGTTATCATTTATAGTCATCATTTATTTCATCATTCATATTTATTATTTATAGTTACCATTTATTGTCATTATTTATAGTTATCATTTATAGTCATTATTTATAGTTATCATTTATAGTCATTATTTATTGTTATCATTTATAGTAATCATTTATATTCATTATTTATAGTCAACATTTATAGTCATCATTTATAGTCATTATTTATAGTTATTATTTATAGCCATAATTTATAGTTACCATTTATAGTCATGATTTATAGTTATCATTTATAGTTATCATTTATAGTCATCATTTAGTGTTATCATTTATAGGCAACATTTAAAGTCATGATTTAAAGTCAACATTTATAGTCATCATTTATTTCATCATTTATAGTCATTATTTATAGTTATTATTTATAGTCATCATTTAGTGCCATCATTTATAGTCAACATTTATAGTCAGCGTTTATAGTCATTATTTATTTCATCATTTATAGTCAATATTTATAGTTTCCATTTATAGTCATTTTTATAGTTACTATTAATTTATGGTTATCATTTATAGTCATTATTAATAGTTATTATTCATAGTCATTATTTATAGTTACCATTTTTAGTAATCATTTATTTCATCATTTAAAGTCATCATTTATAGTCATTATTAATAGTCATCATTTATAGTAATCATTTATAGACATCATTTGTAGTCATCATTATAGTCATAATTTATGGACATTATTTTTATAGTCATGATTTACAGTCATCATTTAGAACCATAATTTATAGTCTTTAATTATAGTCAACATTTATAGCCTTTATAGCCTTATAGTTACCATCTATAGTAATCATTTAAAACCATCCCTACAGTCATAATTTATGGTCATTATTTATTGTGATCAATTATAATCATCGTTTAAAGTCATCAGTTTAAGTAATCATTTATAGTCATTATTTGCAGCCATCATTTAAAGTCATCAGTTATAGACCCCTAGTCAGCCTGTCTGAAGTTGCATGCAGTGTTGCTAGGAAAGGGTTTGACTTGCAAGGCCAGTATGACCTTGATTCCAGATTCAATAGGAGTCATGCAAACTGTACCAATGAAGTTTGAGAGCCAAAGACCCATGGAAATTATATTATTGGTTGATTAACGTTTCGGTTTTTGTACAAGGTCAGTATGAGCCTGCGACCCTAAAATCAAAAGGGGTCATTTACTGCCAATGACCAATGCTCCTACTGAAAACTTTGAGTGCCAAGTGTTCATGGGTTGGAAACCTTTGACCCCGAAATCGATGTGTCATGTAATGACCTAGATAAATGTACCTTTGATATTTGAGGGCAAATGACCTATTGATTGTCGAGTTATTGGTCAGAAATCGCATAAGTTCAAAATTTCAATGTGACCTTTACCTTTGAACACACAACTCGAAAATTAAAAGGGGTCATTAACTGTTCAAGAAAACTTTCCTATAAAATCCGAGGGCAAAGAGCTCATTGGTTTTATAGCTATTTGTCGGAAACCGTTTTGTCAATGTGACCTTGACCTTAAAACCTCGACCCGAAAATCAAAAAAAGCCATTTACTGTCCAAGGCTAGTGCTTCTTTGCCGCTTGAGCTGCCAAATGGTAAGTCAATTAACCGTTTTGACAGCCAATGTTAAATGAAACAATGACTTTGCCCATGTGGCTTCAACAGCAATAGGGGTCTTCTACTGGCCAAGACCAATGCGCCTGTTAAGGATGATGTTTGATAGTCAAGAAAGTATGGGTTGTCGAGTTATTGGTCGGAAACCGATTTGGGCTGCAATGTCAATATGAGATTGACCACCCAAAAATCAGAAGGGGTCATCTACTTCCCAAGACGTTTTATGTTCCTATAACATTTGAGAGCCAAATGCTAAGAGATATTGGTCTGAAACCGTTTTGGGAAAAAATTTCAATGTGAGTTTGTTCTTTGAGCCCTCGAACCAAAAAACAAAAGGGGTCCTTTACTGCATAAGACCAATGATCATATGAAGTTTGAGCGCCAAGCCATTATTTGGTTGTCAAGTTAGTCAAAAATCGTTTTGACAGCCAATGTGACCTTGACCTGAGACCCCAGTAGCAATAGGTGTTATCTACTGACCCACATCAATGCACCTATAATGTTTAAGGCCAAGGGCCCACGGATTTAGCGATGTGACTTTGACCCTTGAACTAACGATCAATAAATCATGAGGTGCCAGCTACTGTTCAGGACAAATGTTCCTATAAAATTTAAGGGCCAATGACTCATGGGTTGTGGATTTATTGCCGTAAATTGTTTTAACATACAAAACATAATTAACCAGGAGTTATGACAAGTTACATTTTTTTTCAACTTAGGCAAGGAATTGCTTTAAAGATCAGTAATATTGAAAAGATTTAAGACTGAGTTAGTTAAATCAGGGTCATGAACGCTTGATAGGTCACCAAAACGGTCAACAAAACCGTTGACCATATATGAGTGAAGGCCATACTTAATTATTGTACAGATAAAGAGATAAGACAATGGAAAAATGACCAGCTGTCCGGTCCAAAACTCTTATATAGAAATTCCATGACTTCAACTGACTCAGTCCAGTGCAAGCGACTGACCAAAAATAAGGTATTTAACTAGTTTTGTTTCAATAAGAACAAAATTTAAGATTATTGCAAACATAAGATAATAAATCATGTCTGGGAATATGAGAAATAATATTTAGTTTAGCGGCCTGTATTTACAAAATTATATTTTTAAAAGCAGAATGATTTTTAAAGCGTAAATGAAATAATGATAACGTCGCATTTTCGGGCAAAATAATGTCGAGAATTACACCTAAGTTATTCAATTTAGAATGTAGACTACAAGAGATTTTCACATGGCAAGAAATCAATACAAATTGAGAAATAAAACACAGCAAAACAGAATAATTTAAAAAAAACTTAATCATATAAGAACATATTAAACAAGCTCATTTAAACTTCAAACAGATTTTTTTTTTGAAAATATGAATTTAATGACACCAAAACAATTTTGAAAAATTATTTTTGGAAAGCTAATCTAAATTCACTTTGTAATCTATAAGATACTAGAAGAAATTTTAAGCAGTTTAAATGATCCTATTTTATATTAACAAACTGATTGTTGATTGTTGCTGTAAATTATCTAAAGAATAATAAAGCAAACGATTCATGTAGAATTCTAAAGTCCCAATGCCTTTATGTATAGGTAAAAGTTTATTAGTACGTATATTTACAAAATTGAATCTGTCGCGCGTTTCTAATAAATTTTAACCAGCTCAATAATTAGTGTTTTAAATTATTTTTATAAACAGTCGATTTATTAGACATTTTAATCCTTAACCTGCAGACTTTCCTAAATATACAGGGGGGGATTATGGACGAAACATTCAACAATAGATTGAATAATAAGGCAAATTGATTATGTGCATTTGTTGATCTAAAAGCCGACTAGATTTTGTTTGGCGTAACCGTCTTTGGGGCAAACTAATTTCTAATGACGTACAAAACAAATTCTTAAAAGTGGTAAAAATAAATTGTGTGGTCATGTAAAATCCTCCATAATTGTGTCTTGAAAAAAATCAGTCTTTTTCATCTTTAACACTGGTCTTTGTAAAGGGAATATTTGTTTCCGATTTTGTTCTCCCTATATCTTAAAGATCTTTTTTTTTCTTTTTTTTGTTTTGCTTGCTATAAAGTCATGAAGACATTATTAGTTCCCATATGTCTGCTAATTGGGAAAATTTGCACAAGCTTGTTGTGGCTGATTTCTGCCATTTCGTGTTTTCGTGTTTGCACCCCTCAAATGCCGAAGGCGATGACACAGGGACCGATAATATGCTCTATCATCATGTATTCGCCTTCAAATGACACGAAGAGGCGAAATAACGTTATTTTAATAAGCGAAGACACGAGATCTTCATTAGCAGAATTATCGTGTCGGCGGGTAGAAATCTTCGTATCGGTACCCTATATTTAACATTATTTATCGTGTCGTTGTGTCTTCGCCTCAAAATACGGAAGGCGAAAACACACGATAAATTGGCAAAATATCGTGTCTTCGACTTTCAGGGGGGGAGGGGGAGACACGAAGACACGATAAAATTGACAATTATTTGTCTTAGCCTGTCGCTATCATATGGCGAAGAAACTTGACAATTATTTGTCTTAGCCTTTCGCTATTATAAGGCGAAGACAAGACAAAAAAGGGCGCCGATACGATGATTTCTACCGGCCGAAATGATAATTCTACTGAATTCTACAGTTAGCGGAATATTTACGAGCTGTGAACACTATTGTGATATGTGCTGGTCTAAAGTTAACATACCTTTGTCAAACACTGTTATCATTTCTAAAGATTCACATTTAAAAATGAAGACCATGTAATAACAGAGATTAATATAAATACATAGGCCTGTTATAATAGAAGAGGCCTCTTCTTTAATTCAAAATGTTCTATAACTCAGTATAAGTACATTGTAACTACTCTAAAAAAACAAAACAAAAAAAAACACAAGAGCGCTTTCATAATAATTGATCTTTTTTATGAAAAGTGCCTAATCAATTCTTCTCAACGGATGATATGTCAACCTAAAGTGGTGATATATTTTTTTTTTCAAGATATAGCCATTCATATGAATGTTTTGTTTTCAGCAACTAAGTGATGAATCATTTCGGTAATATCGTGCTGTTGTTGTCATTGACAACCTGGTAAGTTCAAAATATATTCCGATTATGAAAATATAACTTAAAGGCACATTTTACCTCATATATGATGCCATTTTTATTTCTCGAAAACGTTAAAAAATTTAGTATCTGGTTTACTTATATCTGCTATGTAGATGAGTTGTATTTTGCTTCTATTTTCTATTTGAGCGATTGGTAAAGTATAGTAAATAAGTATTTTTATGGAAGTCAAAATACCACATTTACATTTTAAGGAGCTTTATGACATATTATTGCACATTTGGCGCTACTTTATTCAGTTGTTTAACATCTAACATGTTCTATATACATCATTAAAACATTACTAAAAACATGTTTGACATTTCTAAAGAATAAAAAAGGATTGATTTCTGAGGCATAATGTGCATTTAAGGTTTTGCATTCAATGATTTCGCAAAATTGATTAATATTAATTCTTAATGATCGTTGACAAATATTTCATGTAATTATGATCAAATATGCAAAATATAATAAATTTTGTTCTTTTTTCTTTGTTTTTCGATAAATAAAGATATTTGATAAGAATGGTAATGCAGCTGTAAAAGTAATAAATTGGTACACGTGTAGATAGACACTATATATTGGCCATACAGGTATAAACGATGGGTATTGTAATTATCTTTTTAGTTTGACATCTGCAAGGACATTGCAAGACGTCATTGCTCAGGTAATCTCCGAGACAGACGTTGACGGAAATGGTATCATTTCAGAAGCTGAATTTAACCAGGAGTTACTTGCCAGATGGGACACAGATGTTCGTGAGTGATTTCTCAGTTACTTATTTTGTACTCTTGATATTAATGACATATATCTTAAACATTTATAAATGTACCGTCAAGCTGTTTTAAATACGAACGTATTCTTTTTTTAAAGATACTAGTAAATACGTGGCGTCAATTTCAATGACGCGTTTCTATGATTACGTCATCTGACCCCTCTAATGGAAATATCATGTCACGGAGTCACGGACTTACAATGTAAATGATAAAAACTTATAATTGATCAACATCGTTTCGTTTCAACTGCTTTTATTTTGTTACAAAGCAATTGCGTTTAAAGGACAGATGCAATTTAGATGGCTAAATGTTTGATTTTATTATACATTGAAAAAGCTTCTGACAACATGGTTTCAAAAGCGGACTTTGTAAGCCAATGGACCACGCGGTATGGTGATAATGTGGCAGATGCTTCCGCGTTCTTTGACAAACTGGACCAATTCTTCTTACCCGCAGGCACTTTGAACGATCTGGATTTATTCTTTCACATGGCCACACTCGATCCCGATGGTAATATTTTGTTTCACATATACAATAACCGCCCTCGATCCCAATTGTTAATGTTTTTGTTTATAACCAACCTCGATCCCGATGGTAATGATGTTGAATATGTGTAATAGATTGTCCTGCTTTTATTTGGAGGAATCCATTAAAAGTTTGAAGGGTGTCGTTTACATGAATCGGTCGTACCCTTATGATATAATGGGTTGTGCAAGTTATTCACTTATTACATTGCATTTTATTGCAATGTGGTTATGGACGGTATAGTGGTTACAGAGTTCAGATTATGAAGATCTCGGGCTATGGACATGTTTTTTTTCAAGTTTAAATCTGCAATTTTGCAATTTGTTTTTGTGTGTATGGTTTAACTTTCAAACAATATTTTCACATTCTCTTTAATAAACCTGTAATTTGTTTTATATTTTGCTCTATTTAAAGTTAAATTGAATACGGTTAAAATTGAATTTATTTGATTTTAATAGTCATTGAAGAGATTGAAAAGTATTATCAGTTTTTAATCTATTTGATGCTCTGAATTCAATGGGCTACATTTTTAATAATTGTGGCTCATTTGTATATTCATATATTTAATTGTCTTCCATTTCTCATTGATCACTCTCTCTAATCACGACTGCATTGTTTCTAACTTAACCTGCTGAAAGCAGATATGTGTAAAATTAAATGTTTTCTAATAACATTGTGTGAAGGAAATCTACGAGGAACTAAAATCCAGTTCGCTGAAAAAAAAATAAAAACCATAAAGAATAAGACAGAAAAAATGCCTTTTCCAGATTCGAATCATGGTATCTATGGTTACGAAGTAAACACTCCACCACTGTGCAAAATACGCTGAACTGTTAAACATAAGTAATTGTTAAGGTGATTAAATATTAAGGCGATACATAATATGCTTTTATATAAGAATTATCGACACCCCTATTTATTAACATATTCAATATATTCAATGTTAGTGTAAATAGATAATGAGCGAATTCGAGCTGTACAACTAGTCTAGTGTCAGACCACAAGACTGGTTCGTCACTTTTGGCAAAGGTCATTCACATCCGGTTGCGACAAATTAATGGTAAAGTCCACTCAGTATGATATTGTATCTATTGCAGGTGACCATCAAGTTTCAACTGCTGATTTTGCAAACTTCATTAAAGTGGTAAACATTTTATGTATATTTTATTAAAGATTTAATGTTTTAAGCTATAAGACAACATTTGATTTTATACATATACAAAAATTAAAGATGAAACAAATGTGAAAAATCTATGATATAATTATATAAGTGATATAAGTTAGTCGTTGGTAACCGTACGTTTCCAGTAAAAAAGTAAAATGTTTTATGCTATTGTAAAATACCGCTATACAAGCGCGTATCTTATATTTCTTATCAGAAGGGTGGCACAATTTCAACAAAGGTTATTCCAGAGGGGGTCATGGGTTTTACTCGTTTTCAATAGGAGGGTGGGTGAGGGTGATTGGTATACGAAATTGATAAAATGAATTTAAAAGATAAGTTGATATAAGTCCCACGCACTAACCAAATCCCCGGGCGTTCTTGACAAACATTCCTCACTGCTGGATCCGCACATGCCATACCGTTACGATGATACCTGGAAGAGACAAAACAACTTTTTGTACTTCGGGAGTCCACGCAAACTATTGTTTGTCCATTGCTGTGGTTATTTGCAGACATTATTCGAAAATAACTTTATTCACGTTTTGGAAGTTGATCAATTTAAATCTGATACTGTGACAATACAATGTTTTAGCAAAGTAGAATGGTAGGTCACAAAAATATGTGTTCAATTTTTTTAGACAGTAGTCTGTACGACATTTTCAATGGCTACAGATCCTGGTCATTCAATTTATGCTCACAGTTTTAATAAAATTATGTCTACATTATGTCTACATTATGTCTACGTTATACTACATTTCAGAATCACCCTTGTGGAGGAGCTGGACATTTGCATTGTTAATTACTTGTTAATAAAAGTTATAAAAAATATAATTGTAACGTGTTATTAAGAATAACATCATTACCTTTTTAATTGAGAAAGAAAACTTATGCCATATAATAAATGTAATTTAAACGTTACTTTAAAAAGTTGTCAAGAAAATAACTCATTAAGATATTTGAGTTGTTGGGGAGGAAGGGGCAATGGTTCTGTTTGGGGTTTTAACCATGTGACAATATTAGCATGATGGTGGTGTTGGTAGATTTCACTCCGGATCACGACAGGAAGCCACATTAAATTCACTAGTTCAACCAACGCATCGTTCCTTGACAAGCTGCCAAGCAGTTCACCAGTACTAGTTGGCTTCACTTTCGCAAGGAACTGAAACTTCTGTACATATCAGAGATGAGGTTCAGTGCAAATGACCGTAGAAAGGATTTCATGATCAATCACAACGAAAGTGACCTGCGCCGTCCGGGAATCGAACCCGGGTCGCCCGATTCACGGTCCAACGCTCTACCTATTGAGCTCACCGAACGGCTACCAATATTTACATTATATATGCCAATTGTTTTGAATGTGCATCAATGGTCCCTCACCCCTCGCTCGTAGTAATCAAAGTAATCAAATTCAATGATATATTTTTTGTTTATTGCGTTATACCCCGGTCACATATTCACGGAATACGCCCACGGAAGAGCCACGGATTAATTCCGGCATCGTCCGTAGCTACCCGTACTGGTCTGTAGCTCTCCGTATTGTAACCATAATCAATCGTAGTAGTCCTTGTATATCCGTAGCGATCCTTGACAATTTTTGAACATGCACAAAAATTTGCTACGGAAAAATCAACCGTAGCGTATCCCTACTAGTCCGTATTGAACCGTACTGTTACGTACTGGTCCGTACGGAAACCGTACTAGTCCGTACTGATTCGTAGGACTCAACCTGCTACGGATTTCCACGGTTTGGTACGGAGAACTACGTATTTGTACGGTTACCCTACGTATAAGCTACGGTTTTAATACGGATTAATACGGCATTGCCACGGAAAGCTACGATCGTAATACGTTGTACTGCGGAGAGGCAGGGATTAGCACGGTCTTATACGGTTTATTGCGTTGCAACACGAAACGGTACGGAATGGTACGGTCCACCACTGTTTAGTACGCATAAACAAGGATTTATATTACATACGTGGAATAAATTAATAGTATACCTTCTTGTTAAAAAAGACATATTTGCGTGAACATTCAAGAAATGATAATTGCCATTTACTGGCTGCAACTTTAAATTGAAATAGCTCAGAATGCGGAGGCAGTGGTCGAGCTGCTTGATGACATGCACAGAGGTAAAAAATATATTAATATCGTACTACAATCCATAAGTAATAGAATAGAATTTAATGTTTCTTATTTTACAAACATTAATTTGGATCGTGAAATTGGAGTAAATAATTATGTACATAAAAGAAGTGTCTCATAAGCCTCGGACGCTGGCCCTTGGGTGATAATAAGATTAATTAATAAGCTTTTTACATATTTTTAAAACATAAACGTTCACGATAATTAATGTTATTGTAAAATGAACAGCAAATTTCAAAATCAAAAGAGAAGCAGTATTGATCAACATTTTTCTTTAATGATAACTAGCCCATATCTAATCAGGTAAGAGGAGATGGTGTACTAGAAATGGAGTTTACGAAGACCCCTTCATGTTTAGTAGGAGGCTCTCATGGCCGAACCTATTGAGGATCCGGCGTCCTTCATGAAATTCACTTTAATCGAACCTGTTATGACTCGGGAGTCGGACGTGATGAGGCCGAATCCTCTCCGCCAAAATCAGTGAACTCTGCAATTCGTTTTCTAGGTGTTCTTTTCTTGTGAGGCATTTTGAAAATGAGCATGCAAGGGGTTGTGGACGGATATAATAGGTCCGTATAGGTCCGTGGCAATACGTTCTTCTCCGTATCAATTCGTTCTTCTCCGTATCAGACACGTACTAATTCGCACTAAACCGTGCTTATACCGTAGCAGACCGTAGTGTATCCGTAGTGTATCCGTAGTGCATCCGTCTTGATTCGTGTCGCTCCGTACCAAACCGTGTCGGTCCGTAACAATCCGTGTCTCTCCCGGGGATTTTGGTGGTAAATCCATCGAACTCCGTACTCATACCGTTGTGTATCCGTACTGAAACTGTAGCGAACTACGGAATTTCACATTTCCGTAGTAATCCGTGAACGATTAGACCGTAGCTCTTCCGTGGCATTATCCGTGAATATGTGACCGGGGCATTAAAAAATAACAGAAAGAACAGTAAAACACGTAAAACACGTTCTAAACATGTTTATAGGACCCAAATATCTATCTACATCATATAAAAAGCTTATTACACGAGTTTGCTTACCAGGTGAAATAAATAAAATTGTTAGCGGGGGGGGGGGGGGGGGAGCAGGAGGGGCGGAGATAAGAAAAAAATGTAACAAGGAGATGAATTATGGGGCAGCTTTTAAATATTGTCACTCTGCACTTATAAGTTTTTTTTGTTTTCTTTTTTCTTTTTCGTTTTTCTGTTAGTAAAAGAAAAGAAAATGGAGTGTCCTTCAATAGCATAAACTACAAGTTAGGGAGTGAAAATTGCAGTCTCGGTTTAATTGAGATTGTACATGGCAGACACACGGAAAGTGAAACAGAAACTGGATAAAATAGAATATGTTGAGAGGGAATAATATATTATGAAAAATAATCTTAGAAAAATATTGAACTGAATTATTATATTAAACTTTGATAAATATTTTTGAAATAATTCATTTTATTTTGTATGAATGTAAAACTTTCTCCTGTCTATGTTAAAAGAATATTGTAAGATGTGTGAGTTACATACTATTAACCTCGTTAACATTTGTAATTTGTTATTTACCTCATATTTACATGTATTGTGTATTGAGTGAATAATAAAATCTTGAATCTTGAAATCTTGAAGCCCGTATATCGAATACTGTAGTCAAAAGACAAAGTTAAATTCACACAGTATAATTATACTATAACTGACTGCTCAATATTCATGTAGGATTATTGGAACAGCTTCAATTTTATTAAAAAATATTTAATTTCGCTAAATGAAATGAAAGCTTGCTTTCGCTGTAACTGTTAAATAAAAGTATCATACCTTCACCAGATATACCTTTTGTAAATGCTGATTTAACTTGGTAATCAGTTAATTGCAGTTTTATCTTAAAAAATTCTTTCAAATCAAGCAACTAGTCTATTTTTTTGTTGTTGTTTTTTTTTCTGCGCCACTTTTTCTTGTGTATTAACAAGGCTTGTAAATAATTTTGCTATAAATATCTCTTCCGAGAAATAAAATATCAAATTTGTATTCAAAATATAATGAAATATAACATAATAAACAATGACCTAAACACACATATACATGATCCTGGCAACGAGACAGTCTTAAACCTAGTTTTTCTAATTTTCAAATGTGAAAAATAAGTTCATGCGGGTTTCAGTATATGCAGGGAAGTATGGGCAGTGTGTGTACGGTACAAGCACTCAAAGTCATTGCAGTCGGCCTTTATTCGAATACATACACATCTTTTATTTGTGGCATTAAGCACAATATAGTCATAGTCGTGTAAAAAAACGAACAAAAGACATGGTTTTGTTGAAATCAAAATACATGTACATGTAGATACAAACAACAACAACATGTATATATAGTTAACCGGTTATCTCCAGTTTATTAATACATTTATGTTTTAGAATTTAATTAAATATACAGCTGAAAAAAATAACTTGAGTAAAGAAAAGATTTTTTTTTCAAAATTATACAACCAGATAAAATACCTGTATATTTTTGGTTACTAATTTGACAAGAGGCAAGTACGTCTATACGTCCATCTGCTTACCACTGTTTAACAAGCTACGACTTCGGTTCAGCAAGTAGAACATATTAAATATGATGTTCGTGAAGTTAGCCAGACAGCCGGAGCAGCCGGAACAAAATTTTGTCTCGTCCAGCTGTTCCGGCTACTCCGGCTAGCCGGAATTCGGTTCCGGCTGCATCGGCTAGCCAGAGAATATACAGTAAAACCTGTGCAATAGACAATTGGTTAATTCCATAATGTAGTTTCAAATTACTTATCACTTATCACCGGCTGGTCAGAATAACCAAAATGAAGGCTATTTAAGATGAAAAAATAATCCAGGAACAAATTTATGAATATTTGTGCATGCAAAAAGAGACAGTGGGTCCACTGGCAAAGGTGTGTCCGTCGGGAATGCTGTAGCATTTTGCCGACGTGGAGCCGAAGGTCGTGCTTTAAATGGTCTGTGAGGCTCAGCCTCAATTGCACAGAACTCCATATGGTGGGATGGTTAGGATCTGACCGTGTGTCCGCTGGCATAAGTGTGTCCGTCGAGAATAATTTGGTTTTTTTGCCGACGTTGAGCCGAAAATTCTACTATACAAGGTCATTTCAACTCATACCACGGCATTTTCGGCTGACCCCTGTGAGGCCCAGCCTCAATTGCACAGAACCCCATATGGTGGGGAGGTTAGGGAGTTTAACCGCGTGTCCGCTGGCATAGGTGTGTCCGTTGGGAATACTTTGGTATTTTGCCGACGTTGAGCCATAAATCGTACTATAGTTGGTCATTTCAGCAACATCTCGCCTATTTCAGCTGGCCCCTGTGAGGTCCAGTCTCAATTTCGCAGAATCTCATATATTTGGATGGTTAGTGGGTCGGACCGTGTGTCCACATGTTTATTTGTGTCTGCCAGAAATACTCTTGTATTTTGCTTACGTTTAGCCAAATATCAAAATATAAATGATCATTTTAGCTCACATATTGTGTTGATAAAAGTTGATAAAAAGAGAACTTGTTGTTATATACATGTTGGGAATAATATAAATGCATCCGATTTTACAAAAATATAGTCAGTCAAACAAATTTGACAAAGGCACCAGCACCCTTATTTTGGCCACTCCGCGATACTCTCCTCAGATGTCCCACACGTGAAGTATAGGATCGTTTTATTAACATGGATG